TAGTAACAGCTGATGTGTATAGACCACTTATGCTATACACTGTGCTGAATCAATCTCTTGCATATAACTCCAGTGGCAGTCATCATTTTCTTTTCTTCTTCTTCTTCTTCTTCTTTTTTTTTTTTTGGTACTAGGGATTGAACCCAGAAGGGCTTTACCATTGAACTTTGCCTCCAATCCTTTTATTTATTTTGAGTCAGTGTCTCACTAAATTGCTGAAGCTGGCCTTGAATTTATAATCCTCCTGCCTCAGCCTCTGGTGTAGCTGGGTTTACAGATATGCACTACTGTGCCCATTTTGCAGGCAAGAAAACTAAGGCACAGAGAGGGTCAGGAACTTGCTAAGAAGTAGAGTTGGTATTGTTTCACCCTATGGAATATATGTATGATCATGATGTGAATTCATATTTCTATATTGCTCTACGTTCTAGGTGTGCCTGTACCCAAGATTAGTGACTGGCCCATGTGTGGTCACATATTTTTTTGTTGGTTTGTTTTTGTAGTGCTGGAGATTGAATCCAGGGACTCATGTATGGTAAGAAAGCACTGTACCACTGAGTTACATCACTAGCCCACATGCACTTCTGTGTATATGCCTTCATATACCACATCGTATGTGGTATATGGCATGTGTTGTGAATTTCTGTACATGTAAGTGTTATCAGCTTGGATTCTCAAGCTCAAAAGTCCTGTGTCCAAATTCCTATTCTCTCATTTACTCTTCTTTATAATTTCAGACAAATGTTTGCTTCTCTTTGAGCCTCAGTTTCCTTACTTATAAAATGTAGTATAATAATTTTCCCAACCATCAGGGTGTCTGTGAGGTGCAGACAATTAACCTAAGTAAAGTGCCAGGTGATGTTATTTATTGCTACGTGTCTCTGGGGTATTTTCTGATATATGCAAGTTCATGTCACTGGGTATGAAAGCAGTCCCAAACATACTCTCAGAAAATTCCCCTTAAGCCAGGCCTGGTGATGCACACCTGTAATTTCAGCAACTCAGGAGGCTGAGGCAAGAGGATTATAAGTTCAAGGCCAGTCTCAGCAACTTAGTGAAGCTCAAAGCAGCTTAGCAAGACCCTGTCTCAAAAAATGCAAAAGGTTGGATGTAGCTCAGTGGTAAAGCATCCCTGGGTTCAAGAAAGAAAGAAAGAAAGAAAGGGTAGGGAGGAGAAGGAGAGAGAAAAAAAAAAAGGAAAGAAAGAGAAAAGAAATTCCCTCTTTATCCATGTCCTTCCCTAGTCTGAGCCCAAAAGGATACATCCATCACAGCCACCATGCTTCGACATGTGTCAATGCCAAAACCATCAGTTTTCAAATCAGGGTCTGTGGGGAACATGTTGAAGATCAGAGGCCACAGATCACAGCCACCCCAGCACCTAGGCCTCTAAACCTGCCCCATGCATTGACCCTGGACACTCACGGCGGGTCACGATCTTGTTGAGAATGTTCATGAGTTCCGTGGCACTGACCTCCATATCCTGAGGGCAGAAATTAGGGGCACGTCAGGGGAAGACTGAAAGGGGTCTGGATGGGTTATGAAGAAGAACAAGAACTTTGGGATTGTCGGTCAAATATATGTGTACAAGAATAGTTCAAGGAAAGACATGGAAGGATTAGGACAGAGCCAGGGTCCCCAGGTTACTTACATCTCCAGCCAGTTGGGCAAAGAGTTTCCGGAACTGCCGGACCTCCTCACTCTCGTTGGCCTCAATGTTGGAGTAATGGGTGCGCGGGGGCTGCAGAGGGAGAAGATCTCAGAGGAGATATGGGGAAGGGTACCTTGGCTCCCCATACCCAAGCACTGCTGGTGAGAAAGTGAGTGGGCCAGGCAGCCTAAAGATCAGAGGACAAGCGGTGGTTAGTGAACAGGAAGTATATGTGGCACGGCTGAAACCCATGGCTAGTTTGGGGACTTGGCAAGGGAGAGACTTAATGACAGAGAAATTTCATAAGAGGGGGAGGGGAGGCTTATTTATAGGAGCAGGGATGGGAAAAGCCCAGAAGAAGCGGGGTCTCTGGTTGTGGAGGGCCGCTTACCGGAGGCTCGGGGTTGTACTGTGCAGCCGCCTCGCTAAGAGGAGACAAGGAGGAGTTAGTACGGGGGGGCGGGGCCTCCAACGGGCAAAGCCCTCAGAATCTCCAGCGCCAACCCCCGAAATCCCAACCTCCCACCCGCCTTACCTGGTCCCTTCATCTTCATCTGTCCCTGTCTTCATCTATCCCAATCCACAGATCCCTAGTTCTGCCTCTCCTCTCACTCCATCAGGCCAGCCACATCCCACAGTCCCACCCCCCATGGTGGAATCCATTCCTGCCAAGGCACATCCATCCAATAGCAGATGTCAGAATCATCTTGGTCCCACTCAATTATCAACCTGAGATCCTGCCCACTTCATTCACAACAGCCCTTCAAAGACTCTTTTCACAAAGGCTCTGCCCCAGCTTCCCAGGGCTTAATCCTCCTCAGGTCCTATCTTCCCAGGACCCTTCTCCATCACTTCTGAATGTCTGTTTTCCCAGCATCCTAACCCAGATCCGTTAGGCTCTGTCGCTTTGAGGGTTCACTGCTTGTTGATGAAGGCTAATTAGGCATCAACAGACAACCTGCCCCACCCTGCCAGGGCATTTTTCTCTGTGAATGCAACCAGTTCTCTAACAGGCCCAGTTCCTTCTTGGCCATTTCCCCTATTCCATTAGATCCTGACCTCTCCTGGGCCCACTAACTCACCTAGGACAGCAGATTTTACCTATGTCAAGTACCGCCCCTACTAAGTGTCATCTAGACTCATTGGTTTTCCTCTAGAACTTTAATTTCAAGGATGAGCTAATAAAAGCTGCACTGTCCATTAAGTCCCCCCTCCCCCACCAGCAACAGACCGGCCCCCTTAGAGCCCACACGTATTGACCCGCATAAGGGGACTACACCCATGACAAGCCCCGCCCCCACAAGGTAACATCAGCCTCATTAGGGCCCTCTTCTTAAGGCCACCTTTCTGCCCAGGCCAGCCCCCCCCCCATTCAAGCGCCCCGACCACTCTCCGCCCCGACCACTCTCCACGTTTATCCCATTCTATTCGTGTTGGACCACGCCCCTCCAGACCCCGCCTCACCTGATAGCACTAATGACTCCGCCCAAGATGCGCATGGCAGTTCCACCGCCTCCACCTCCTCCTCCACCTCCTCCTCCGCCGCCCCCTGCGCCGCTGATCAGGCCTCCGAGCACATTCCCCAGGCCCCCACCTAGGCCCCCGCCTCCTCCTCCGCCGCCGCCGCCTCCGCCTTTCAAGAACGAGTTAACCAGGAACATGACTGCGACTGGCTCCTGAAAGGGAGAAGGGGGTCAGGTAGCTGCCTCGCCCGAGTCCTCCCTCTCCCACAAAAATACGCATTTCCGGCTGCAGTTCCTGGGAGAAGAATCTGAGGCCTCGGGGTGGAGGCCGATCCTACGGCGAGGGGTCTGGGCTTCTGATAGAGGGTGGTTTTCCTTTGGGTGGGGTAGGGAGGAAGAAGGCTCAGGTTTGAAGCCCCGGGTCTAAAAGGTACCTGTCGAGCTTGAGGGACTTTGGGTTGAGTGCGTGTATAGACATCGCTAAGGGGATGGGCACAGGTCTGCCGCGGGATCTCCAGATGGCGTCCCCTTGTGGTGGCAGTGGTGCCCGGTGTGTCTGGGCGCTCGAATCTGAGATCCAGAGCCCCGGAATTGAACCTGGGGGTCTTCGGCGAGTCGAGCTCGCGGATCGGGGACCCTTGGCCCGGAGGCCACTGGGGGCGAGGGTTTAGGAAATTCCGAAAGTGGCTTGGTGCAATTGGGTACTCTCGGCAACGGGACTACAAAGTCACCCTGGGTCTGAGGGTTCGAGTCCCAAGTCAGAGGCCCGGGATATCAAGATCTGCACTAGAACTGGGGGCATGGATCCTAGACCGTGGTTCTGGACGCCCCAAGGGAGAATTTAAGGGGCGCACCTCAAATCTATGGGCTTGTATTTTAGATCATGAGACCGAGAATGGGGAGGAGTCCGCTGGATAGGAAAATGAGGATAGATCAGGCCTAGGGGTTGGAATCCGAGATAATGGGTTCTCGGACCCCTGAAGCCGGGGCTTTAGGGTCTCGCTGGGTCTGGGGAGAGGGGCTGCTGGACTCAGGATTGCGGTATGCAGGGGGTGGGGGGTCTGGGCCCGGCGGTCACCGCCTCACTTACACGTCCGGCGGTCGGGTTGTCTGTGGTCTGCTACTCCCGGGCCTCCCGCTGCGTCCGGCTCCAGAGGGCGGGGCCCGTGACTCAGGCCGCAGCTTTCTCCGTAGACAGTGCAAGGCGCCAGGGCGTCATCCGCGCGGTCCTAGAGCCGGCATTGAAAAGTGCGCCTGCGCGCGGCGGCCTCGCCCCGGCGTAACGGGCTGCCCTGTTGTAGCTCAGCCCGGCAGGTTTCCGGTGCTGAGGTTCGAACCTCGCCCAGGCAGGTGCTGAGCCTTCTCACAGCTCAGCGTGAACGAACTGGAGCTCCAAGGTAACCTTCCCCGCGTCCTGTGAATTTTCGCCCCGAGACCTGACTTCAATCGTTCAGTCTGTTCCAAAAGAGACTCAACAAGTAGCCCTTATCCTGACTTTTTTGCGACAAACAGCACCTAGAGGCCCCCAGTTTTGTTTGGCTTACAAGCTGGGGACAGACACTTGCAACTGTGGCAAGGGCTAAGGCAGACTGGATTTTGCTGGCCCCTGCCGCATCCCAGATGTTGGTCACCCCGTGCCTTCTGCAGCCGAGTCTGTGGATCTCTCTCTCTTTTTTTTTTTTTTTTTTAAGAGAGAGTGAGAGAGTGAGAGAGGAGAGAGAATTTTTAATATTTATTCTTTAGTTCTCGGCGGACACAACATCTTTGTTGGTATGTGGTGCTGAGGATCGAACCTGGGCCGCACACATGCCAGGCGAGCGCGCTACCGCCTGAGCCACATCCCCAGCCCATAGTCTGTGGATCTCTATTATTTTTTTTTCGTGGACGACACTAAAGTGTCACCTTCAGTCTAACAGTCTCTAAAGAAAGCCTCGGATACAGGAAGTCCTTTGGCCTTGGCCAGTTTTCTGAGTTCATATGTTCCAAGGACCCCTTTGAGACTACAGCTGATGCTTTTTTTTTTTTTTAAGCTGGGAATTGAAAGGGGGGGGCGCTCTACTACTGAGCTATATCCCCACCCACTCCTTTGTTTTATTTATTTATTTAATTTTTTTTGTACCGGAGATTGAACTGAGGTGCACTCCACCACTGAGCACATCCCCAGTCTTATTTTATATTTTATTTAGAGACAGAGTCTCGCTCAGTTGCTCAGCGCCTCGCCCTTTCTGAGACTAGCTTTGAACACAGGATCCTCCTGTCTCAGTTTCCAGAGCCGCTGGGATTACAGGTGTGTGCCACAGCTCCCAGCCCTTTTTACTTTTTATTTTGAGTAGGGTCTCGCTAGATTGCTTAGGGCCTCCGTATATTACAGAGGCTGGCTTTGAACTTGGATCCTCCTGCCTAAGCTTCCTGAGTTTCTGGGATTACTGGCATGGGAAAGTGCTACTGGCTGATATCCTCTTTAGAGGCCTTTTTGCCCTACAATTTGGACCTCCAATTTATGTGTGCCCAGTTATTTTTCTGGGTTCCTCAGCAGTCTATCTGGCACTTAGACTCTCTCCTGAAGGTTGGGTAGGTTTCAATTTGAATTTTGGCTCAACTCTATAATAACTGCAACCCAAAAACTGACTTGATGCCTCTGAACAATCAATTCATCTGTGAAATGGGAGCATGAGTTGCTACTTCCACCCTAGTAGGCCTCTATCAGAATTAAGTGATAAACATAGAAAATGACAGCTGTTAGCCTGTATGTGCCCATGTTCCTGTAACCTAGAGCCCAGTTGGACTCCAGCTGGTTGACTCTTGCTCATCCTTAAATAATACTGACAAAAACAAATAACTGGCCAGGTGCAGTGGTGCAAGCCTGTAATCCCAGTGGCTGAGGAGGCTGAAACAGGAGGATCACAACAAGTTCAAAGCCAGCCTCAGCAACAGTGAGATGCTGAGCAACTCAGTGAGACCCTGTCTCTAAATAATACAAAATAGTGCTGGGGATGTGACTCAGTGGCTGAGTGCCCCTCAATTCAATCCCTGATACCCCCCCAAAACAAACACAAAGAATTGATAAGCACTCTTCTAAGCACTTCATGAATATTAGCTTGTTTATCCTCATAGTAGTCCTATAGGATGGGTGCTATTTATTATCCCCATTTTACAGATAAGTATACTGAGGTTAAACCCAAATAGCTAGGCTCCATAGCCTGTATCTTTAACCACTACCTTTATGCAATGACTCTTCAATAATATAATTAATATAATAATAGTTCAAATAACAAGATCACAGAACACAGACTGCAGTTGCAGCTAATGCTTCCTGAGGGCTTGCTGGGGCTAGGCCAAGGCAACTGCTATGCAAGCTTTTTGTATGAGTCAAGATGTAACAGGAGAGAAAATGGAGGCTCTGACAGGCAGGGTCACAGAGGGTGGCAGGACCAGGTCTAAACCAGGGCTTGGTTGATGATAAATCTTTTGGTGATGACTAATCTGGATTTCCTTCTCACCACACCCCTCCCTGGCAGACAGAGCAGCTTTAGTCCTCTGTCTTGTCCTTAGGCTCTGTTACTTCTTACTGCCAGGCCTTTGCACTACTGTGCCCACTGCCTGGAGCCCTCCTTTTGTCTCTGTGCCCCTCCTTAAGACTAGATGAGGCTGTCAGTTTTATGATCTCAGAACTAATTGCACTTTCTTATAGCAGTCACTATCCAGGACAGTCACGTTCTCTAGTTCTGTCTTCCTGATTTTTTCCAATTTTTTTTTTTGGTGCATTATATTTGTATGTCTCCTTGATTTCTTAATCCTGGGCATCCCCAAGCCTTAGGTGTTGGTCTTCCTGTCTGTCCCACTCAAGCCATAAATTACTCTGTCTCGAGGCTGTCAACATCCAAATTTCCATCTTCAGCCCAAACACAGCCCCTGAACTCCAGACTCCTACATCCTGCATCCTGGGTCAGTGTAGGTTCTCAAGCTTCACACATCCTCAACTGAGCTCCTGACCTTTCTCCCAAACCCACTCTTCCCTAAATCAACAGTATCTCTTCCAGTTACTGAGGCCAAACATCACTGGGTCTCCTTCGACTTCTTTATACCCACTAATCTACATTCTGTCTCAGCCATTCTGCCTTTCCAAAACCCACAGAAGCACACCTGTCACACCTGTAATTCCAGTGGCTCAGGAAGTGAGACTGGAGGATCGAGAGTTCAAAGCCAACCTCAGCAAAGCGAGGCGCTAAGCAACTCAGTGATACCCTGTCTCTAAATAAAATACAAAATAGGGCTGGGGATGTAGCTTAGTGTAGAGTGCCCCTGAGTTCAATCCCTGGTGCCCCCCCCCAAAAAAAAAAACCTACTGAAGCATTAAATGGTGGAAGAACCAAGGTGTAGGGTCGGTAGAGATATGCACATTTATGTTTAGTCAGGCTTGAGGGCCAAAGTTATGCGGTAAATCTGGTTCTTCAGGTTCATTGGCATCCTCATGGCACCAGGGACCAGAGCTTTGGGGAACAGTTTCCCTTTGGCTTCTGTTCTAAGCATAATTGCCTGTAGTAAGCTAAGATAAAGAAATAAAAAAACTAGTTAGCAGGGCAATAACTAAGTCTCCTTCACATTTTTCGATTTTAGCTGGGCTGTAATCCCAACAGCTCAGGAGGCTGAGGCAGGAGGATAGCAAGCTCAAGCCAGTCTCAGCAATTTAGCAAGATCCTGTATTAAAATAAATTAAAAATGGTTTGGGGATGTGACTCAGTGGTTAAATGCCTGTAGGTTCAATCCCTGGTGAAAAAAAATACGTATAAAATCTTGTTGAGCTATTATGTTGCCTGAGATTTGATTTAAATAATGGGGTTAGGAGGAATAAACAAAATAAGATTGGCCATATGTTGACAATTACTGAAACTGGGTTATGGGTTTTGGAAAGACCCATTTTTGCTGGGCCAGGTGGTCCAAGTTTGTAATTCCAGCAACTCTCAAGCTGGGGTAGGAGGATCTCAAGTTAGTTTAAAGCCAGTCTCAACAATTTAGTGGGACCCTGTCTTCAAAATAAAAAAGGGCCGGACATGATGGCTTGGCCTATAATCCCAGAGAGGCTGAGATAGGAGGATCCCGAGTTCAAATCCAGCCTCAACAATGGCAAGACATTAAGCAACTCATTGAGACTCTGTCTGTAAAAAAATAAAAATAAAAAATAAAATAAAAAAATAGGGCTGGGGATGCAGCTCAGTGGTTGAGTGCTCCTGAGTTCAATCCTGGTGCCACACACACACAAAAGGGGCAGGGATGGGGATGTATGTAAAGTGGTTAAAGTGCCCCTGGGTTCAATCCCCAGTACCAAGATAAATATAACTTGTTCTAAAAAGTCTCCACTGTGAAGGAGAATCAAGAGGGAAATGGGGCCTGTGTGGAGGGCCCTGATTTCCCAGCCGCGACGCGACGTGGCCGATATGTCCATCCTCACCCAACCAACCAGATCTTTCTGACCTACGTGGTGGTAGTTCGCTTCAAGCGCTAAGGTAAGTGCTTTGAGATCGCCTGCTTCGAGAACAAGGTTTAGGCACAGCGGCATGGAAAAAGACCTTGGATGGAATTCTGCAAACCCACTGAGTGTTTGTAAATGTTTCTAAAGGTCAGGTTGCAAAGAAGGAAGATCTCATTAGTGCATTTGGAACATATGACCCAAACTGAAATCTGTAAGCAGATTTTGACTAACAGAGAGGTTCAGAGGCACACACAGCTGGAGCAGATGTTTAGGGATACTGTGGCAGCCATTGTGGCAGACAAATGTGTCAACCCAGAAACAAAGAAGCCATACACTGTTATCCTTGTTGAGAGAGGTATGAAGGACATCTAGTATTCAGTCAAACTCAGCAAGAGTACGGAATAACAGGCTTTGTAAGTGATAAAGTAGCTGAAGGGGGAAATGAAGATCAAATGTGTGGACAGGAGGCTTTGGTTCATTCCAGTGAATGAAAGGAAGAAGCTGAAGGAAAAGCTCAAGTCGTTGATCAAGGTTATAGAAAGCAAGACTAGAGCTAGCGGCTAGAAATTGTGTCTTATTGACCCAGGCTGCTTCTGAGAAATTGGTGAGCTAATAAAAAAGGAAAGAAATGGGAAAGGTTCTTTGGAAGTACTCAATTTGACATTTCTGTCTTGTGTTAATGTGTACATAAAAAGACTTCCTACATGAGGATAATGTGGGAATCATTTTGTTTTAATTTTAAATTGGTATTCTAAGCAAAA